TGAAAACCACTGTGAAGAATCGTTATATGCTTCTATGTTCAGTTTCCCCGTCATCATGGAAGGTGAATCTATATCGTCAATCAAAGTCGAAGTCGAGCCTGGCAAACAGACTACCAGATCTGCAGTCATCAATATGCTGCTAACTGGTGTCGGTGTTGGCATGCTGAGCATCCCCGGAGCCGTGGCAGAGGCTGGCTACATCTTGGGTTTTCTTATTTTGATTGCAACTGGTATTTTGGGTATCCTCTACGTTCAACTGCTCAGACTGTGTATGACACCTACGACGCAGAACTATGAAGATATCGGCCGTGATGCCTTCGGTCGAATCGGCCTCATCTGTGTGACCATCGCCCTGAACGCCGCTCTGATAGGAACAGGTTGCCTTTTGATGCTCCTGTTGGGCTCCAATTCTGTGAAACTCTTCCCTCAATTGGAACAGAAGTATTGGATACTCTGTTGGGGAGCTGCTATGCTCCCTTTATCGTGGTTACGCACGATGAAACATGTCGGCTATGTGAGTGGTACCGTTGGCGTGGCTGCATTAGTGATCCTCCTAGTCTCGATCGTCATCGGTGGTATTCTCCACGCAGTAGATGAGAAAGATGTCCATTCCTATGACCCCGCGCCGCAGTCCTTCGTTGGGCTTGGTATCACCTTTGCTAGTATGACTTTTGGTTATGCTGTTTCCTGTACTTCAACAACAATCTTGCATGATATGAAGCACCCACATGAGCGAAGTCGAGCCATATACATTTCGATGATTATTCTCATCATTCTTTACTGTATTATAGCCGCATCAGGCTATGCTGGTTGGGGTCATCAGCTGCTCACCTATGATACAGTCATTGATGCTATGGCCCCCGCCGGCAAGAAAATAAGTGTAGTCGCGTATCTAGCCATTCTATCTATCCTGGTTGTATGTGCAACTCATTATGTTGTGCTTATGAACCCATCATTTCGCATCGTCGAGAAGGCACTGAATGTTACAGATAAGCCTATCATCTGGTCTCTATTGATACGCACACTTATGGTTGGATTCACAATCATCATACCCATCCTCATTCCCAGTTTCCAAGGTCTTGTCGGCCTTCTAGGTTCGGTTTGCTTCTCGCTCATCCACAACTTTTACCCCGTCATTTTCTGGTTGAGATTATCGTATTTGCGAGGTCGCCGTGTAGATTCATCCCCAAGAAAGATAGCAGCTATCGTAGGGTTAGGTTTCATCCTCGCCGTTTCGGCTGTTGGTTCGTCCTTTGGTATATACCAATCGATCAAATTACTGTAAAGAATTTCTAGTAAATACCTATCATTGTACAAATTTTTCACACCTGGGAAGTTCGTCACTCTTTCATACTCATTTTCCTATTGAGAAACGGTCGCGTTTGTAACAACTCAACATAGTTGACTTAAGGCGATGCACGCCGACGGGCACGCCTGGATACAGCATTACCGATATCAGAACTGTCAGATGAAGTAGTGGAATCGTCACGATTCAAGTGTAGCCGAGTGTATGGTACTGGTGTTCTCTTGGGGAGGCACAGGCCGAAATATCTTCGGAAAACTCCTATCCAGAAGATCACATCCCAGAGTAACGTCGCTGGCGCAAATATGTAAGCGTACGGTCCATAAGACATCGCCGTCCACCGTAGACTGAAGTACTCTCCCCAGAGTAGCACTGGAATGCTCAAGAAGGACCAACGGCTCTTCGCATCTAGACTCTTCACCACGGCCAGGCACGACGACAATTTTAGACTCAAACCAATGAACGCGATGGCGTAAGTGTCGTTGGGCAACCAAGAAGGTGAACGGAGACAGAATATGCCGAAGGCGAATACGATGCTCGGACAACCATGATAACCGACAGCTAGACTCCAAGGCAATACCGGCAAGAACACGGCAATACCTTCTAGGAGATACTGCAGTAAGCACCCAGAGCGTAACAGAGTGGATCGCATAAACCAAACCAGTAACATGTTACCGATCCAGAAAGCTACAGACGCCAAGAACATAGCTGTATGCATGTTGGTGAAGACTCGTTGCATGGACCATGGCAAAAGTTTCCTCTGCGGATTGATTGGACCGAGGTTGGTCTCGACAGAGGAGTCTCCCTGATTGTAAGTAACTTGCACTATGGCATCTTGTATGGATTGTGCTGACTCCAGCCGACCCGTATACACCGTCTCGTCGGAACTCTCGCGGGTGAGGGTATATATGCGACTGTTGTCGATGACTTCCACCTTGTCAACATCGGGTGCTCCTAGCACGGTTACAAGAACTTTACCATCATCATGAACGACAGGTGGCAGGATGATTGGAACAATATCCTTATTAGGCTCTATTGAGTAACGCCATTCCCTAGGGACTGCGGTCTCTGAGGTAGGCGAAGGCAGCTGTAGGAGCCGCACCACTCCGTTGAATTTGAAGTCCGGGATCTGACGAGAGCTATTGCCACATCGACTCAACGAGGGTTCATCTTACCTCCATCTCGAGGAGGTTTTCAAACTCAGCATACATCCAGTGGCCCATCACTGTGTGGGTGTGCCCCGTCAGAACAACGTGTACGTCCAAGGCTTCATGTAAGAGTTGCGCGAACCGTCGGCGACTCGGTGGCTCTAACGTGCCTGAACAAAAGAGGCATTTTAGATGACGAAGAGAATCATATCATGCGTACCGAAGTTGTAGTGTGTTATGATGATAGTCCTCATGTGGCGTCTTTTTCCCAGCCACTCCTCTCTGAGCCAGGCCTCGGTCTCTTCAGAAAGTTCCCCGAAAAAGTGTCGACTGGCCCCAGCCGAAGGCGTGAGGTCAAGTCCAATAAGCAAGTAACCATTGACGGGTAACATCCAACTGCCGCCTTGGCTCCGGATGAGGTCTGCCGACTTCGGCCACAACTGACGTCGACACGTGAGGAAGTCCGCCGTAAAGTCCTCACCTGCTCGACCATCTCACGATAGAAGTGGTTCTTCTCATCATCATAACCAGCAACGGCAAACGAGTCGTGGTTGCCTCTGTGGAAAGAGGTCACAAGCCATCGCGGAAATGCTGGGCTCACCGGACTGTCAGAATCGGACTGCCATTAGGAGCACACTCCTCGAGGAGCACATGACTGAGCTTAGCCCACTCCCCTGCTATAGGGCCGGGATACTGACCGCTCCAGGCCGCTACATTAGAGTCGACTAGATCTCCCCCGAGAACTGCAGTAGACCGATGAGGACACTATGTGATGGTACAGTACTCACCTGTAGCGACCAGGCCGTGGTCTTTAACCCTGGGGAGAAACTCACGACAGAAGGTTGAGAGCTTGTCAATAGTAATGTTGTTAAACCTGAGTAGAGATATGCCGATATGCTCTCAAGGGGTAAGTACTCACTGTGAGACATGTATATCTGAGATGTGTAGGATGAACGGTACGGGTTCACTCGCGACATCGCCAGCAGGTGTAGGAGATGCCGCGACCGAGTACACCACTAGTAATACTACAAGTCGGGTGAGTAGTGCAGCTACACGAGAGACATTGAGGGTCATCTAAGAAACCTGGAAGACTATACAAGAACCCAGTCGTTCATCACGGCTATGGAGACCTCAGCTGTTGGCGACAATTTAGATGTAGCCCCCCAACAAAGGTAGGAAAATAACCAGAGAGCTTCCTCCCCATATAAAACAACAAGTTTAAAGTTACTTTATGAGACCCCTCACGTGTAGCGTTTAAAACTAATGCCCATTCTCTTAGTTTCACTCATCTCTCTTCTTGCCCCCCTCGTCTTTATTCTCAGCCATTTCCCCGTTCTGGGCCCGGTTCCGAGGAGCCCTCGAGGGCCGTTCTGGTAGAGGTGCTGTGAGCTTCTCGTTATCGAGGATCGCCACGTCGAGGAAATCTCCCGGCTGGAACTTTACTTCGGCTAATGTACGCCCATCCGGGAAAGTTTCGTGACTGTTAAAAACCTGCTCAGACGACCGTCACGCGCCACGAAATTCACAACTGGACCTCAGGTTCGCCCTAAGATCATACCTCCCCTATCCTAGCCATCACGAAGCGGCCACTCCTGTCCGGATAGATGAGTTTGAAGCTGAGCTTCTTGGTACGGCCACGAGACTCAGGCAATATATCTTCAATCAGATCTGGAGAGATCAAACAATTAAAAGAGTGGAAAAAACAGAGGGTGCGGGGATTGTACCGGAGATCTCCCTTAGGGAGGCATCGGGCCAAGTGTAGACCTGCAGCTCCTCGTCTACTGGCAACTCCCCGAGTTTGGCGAAGTCACCGTCATCGTGATGAGATCCCATGCGATAGAAAACTCGAAGGAGGAAGGGGCAGGTCTGGGCTCTGAATGACAGAGTTGAAGTATATGTTAGAGCTCGGAATTTACCCTACTACAGAAATTCACCCACGACCCTAACGAGAATTGTTTTCCTGTCATCAAGACGCGTAGTTGACCACGATTCTCCACACTGTTGGATGATAGAGCCTATGAGTTAAAAAGGCCGCCCCGCAGTTCTACCTGTCAATGGCAATGCCCCTCCTACGCTGAGGTGGTGGCCCTGCTCCTCTGGGGCCTCCTCTAGGACCGCTACCTGGAGGTGGCATTAGAGGTCTCCGATAGTCTGATCTGAAACGAATAGGATCATGCTAGGTGGCAGTCCAGAAGTAGATGCAGACTAAGGGAACCACCGTAATGCATACCTGCGGCCTTCCTCATTGTAAGGGCCAGATCTTCTCTCCGATGCACGGGGTGCATCGGATTCCCCGCGCTCAGGTCGACGAGACATGTCACGATGAGCAGACTGCAATCACGATAGCGAACGTCCCTAGCACCAACACAGACCTCTACTGCTATCGGAAACACGCATTCAACTGGCCTTCGTTATGTCGGCTCCCCCACTCTATAACAGGCATACCCCAATGTCTGGCTAACGAAACCCAAGGCCCTTGCTGCTCATTCAGCAGCTAAGCTGAGTAGTGAGGAGGCTCCTCGGAAGGGAAGTTCTCAGTGTATCGTCATGAACAACGTTCTGGAATGCCCGTAGAGAGGCTCTACAGTCCGATATACCTCTGATAACCGAAACTACTCCAGAAAACGCCGTACATTCACATACGTGAGTTCCCCACAGAGGGCCTCAACATCCTCCCTTATCATAGCCACAGCACTGCTCTCATGTTTGTCAGTAGTTACCATCACTAATCTTGAAATAACCGCTCTAATCGTCTTTTACTACCATTTTCCAGCGTAGTTGCCCACGGGCCAGCGCCGAGACAATTCTCAAGACCATATCGGCCAGGACCAGGTCACTATGGCTCAACGTAAGGCGGTAGCAACACTACACTGTCGTGAAGATAGTGAAAGGGTTCGATCTCTCATGGTTCTCCTTGACTCCTCGTGTGGGATGTGCGGTAACCGCAAATTCGAGAGACCAAGAGTGAAGTAGAATGTTGTCATTCTTCTTGGAAAACTCGAGCCTTATTGGGCTCCAACAACAGCATCCTAATCAGCTGGTTCGCGGCTCGGCAACTACTGAGCTTCTTCGACAAACGCTCGTGTGATGATCCCACACTGGAGCCTATGGTCCAGGACGGCCAGTCCACCATATGCAGCTGGATCGTCTTCGCTAGAGTTCTCATCCAGACCACTCCTTCAACTTCTCTTACTACAATAAAGGGATAAGACCTGTAGAGTGGTGACCTCTCTATCGCTAACGAACCATGCTAAGGGCACACAGATGTAAACGAGAATGAACTGAGGAACTCTACTCTGCCGAACCTTTAAGTCTCACGAGGAGCCAATTAGAATACCCCGACGTCCACGTCCCCAAGTTCTCAGAAAGCCGGTGTCACGAGCTCGGGTAAAAACCACGAATCAAAGACACGCTCAAAAATCTTAACTCTTTCCCGAGTTAGAAATTTCAGCGACTCGGTCTCGACAAAAACCTTGAGTCTTCACTAAGACATCCCGCAGAAAGTGAACGTACCTCGAGCGCGAACATTCCCATCATTACTACCCCCTAAACCAATATCATCCTCCGTGACCACCTCCGTTCAGCTCTCTTCAACGTCATCCTCACTCCAAGGCTTGGAGCCCTCCAGACTCAGGAGTCCAAGCATTGAGGGCATCTCCCAACTTCAAAAGCGGTAACCTTCTCTAAATTTTCACTCAGCCACAATCTTCCTGCTGACGGCGAACAACCCCACACGATAACCCTTAACCCTTAACCCCTAACAATATATAATAAACTGCCATTAGACGCTATTAACCCAGCTACTATATCTTATATTATAATGAACTATTATCTCTAATTATATATTTTATATTATGATATCTATAAATAACAACCACCCTCACCAGCTCAATGCACTAAGAGAGTGAAGCATTAGACGATATATACCCACCAGACACTACGGGAACCAGACTCTTTCAGTTCGCCTTACACCAACTCAAAGCCAGCAGAATGTCAACTAAAACTTCTAATGCTTCTCAACAATAGAGACTACGTTAAGAGACCATAACACTACTTTACTACCACGAAGGAAAATATGCATTCATCATCAATAAGAGTAGATAGTTTTCAATGGTCACACGCATACACAAAAAACAACGACGACGATAGGCGAAGCAGAATATGATGATGATATAGTAATAAAGAACCTCCCGACTACTACGATGAAGGGGACCTAAACAGTAGTCAAGTCCGAGCAGCAACAGCGGCGGGGAAGGGCGGTTCATCGTAACGAGAGATAAATGCCGCTGGACAGAAGTCCGACGATCCACTTTAGGGTCGCGCCACACTCCATCATCGTAGATCCTTCTCCTCAAGTGACCGAGACTGGTAATAGTGACAGATTCTGGGAAGACTGAGTGAATACAGTATCATCAGAGATCAGCGTAAAACTAGAGAAAAATGATAGGAAGCTGCCGCTAGGTGAAATTCCAGGTCCTACTTGGGAAGACCTGAATTTTTGCACTTCTTCGATTCAACCCTAACAACAGAATGCTTCTCGTCAACCATCAAAGACTCCTTCTGCTCCTTCAAGACGTTCACCGGCTCAACCGTGCTAGTCTCGGAGACCTTATCAGTGGCGGCTTGGGAGCTCTCACTGGGACTAGTAGGGACTGCCACAGTAGTGCGACGCTCGACTCCAAGGAAACCACATGCCATATCGAGTGCTCTCTCATAAGTAACAGAACCTCTTTCAAAGATGGCAGACCGTCTCTCTTCACCAAGGGTCATGTCCAAACCTAAGAACAGTACAAAACTACTAAGCGATGGAAGAGAGAGAAGGAAACCATCCGAGCATAATGAGCCGTATCATACTTGGTGTATTACTACAACTTCCGATAGAACCCGACATATAGAATCTCTACGAGTGTATCGAACATATGAGGGAAGCCTATTGCACTACATGTGATATAATTACATTACGAAAGGACTAAGGACGAATACGTTGAATTCATTAAAGTGTTCATTTAAAACCAACCATCAGAGGAGAACAGTAGGATACTCAAGAACGACCGTATGACCCAAAACGGACAAGTTCAGCATCCTTTTAATGATACTCAATACACGATATATTTATATTATTATACATGTATAAGTCTCTATAGATATATATTATAATACAGATAAAGGGACGGTTCAACTCTATCGACAAGCCTTACCCTTCGCAGTGATCGCCAGAATACGACCCCTCATGCCCAGCATGGCACCAACCAGCCAACTGTCTTGATCGAGTAATACGTGGATGTCGAAGTCGATGGAATTTGGTATCTTCTGCAACCTTGAAGATAATACCTGATACCAGAAATGAACACACGAGCAGACATGGATTACTCACATGATACGTGTTGTTGACCTTAGTGATGGCCATGTGCTTAGCATTAGTGAACTCGTTCTTCTTCTCAGCAACGAGATCACCAACCTTGTTTCGAACTGCTTCCTCCTTTTTCCGGAGGGAGTCTCTCAGACCTTCAACTGCCTCGAAAGCAGCAACGGATTTACCACGAACATTCTAAACACATAGAAGTGAACAGCAGAGCAATCACCTGAGAGACTACTTACAGCGACATAGTAGTTGCCCTTGCCGATGATACCGTCAATGATAGAGTCGACTTTAACAACCACGGGCATACCATAGGCGTCAGCTACCCTTATACTCGTGTTCACGAGGGGAATCCTTTCCCTGGCAGCTTGTACAGGTAAATTGGCTTGGCACCAAGAGATGGAAGTGTTCACGACGGAGCTCAACATGTTCTACAACAACAGCAACAGCAGCAAGCCTTGCTTGAATTCGATTATAATAAAGTCGACGAAGACAACAACTTCCGTGAGTGACTCTGCTAGATCTTAGATTGTTGCGCTACAGCGGAGCGAAGCAAATCCTGTCCCATTGCGTCGTTTTTCGAGCGCTTGGCATCGTAAGGGATGATACGATGTTCTCAAGGAGTGGTATGATTTCGAAATTCCGCCCATCAGCGTTTTAATGCGAACTCCTATAATTTCGCATTCATCTCCCTACGCCTCCTCCTCCTCCCCCTCCTCCCGTCCTAGCAGCAGTAGCACTCGACGGTCGCCCTACGCCGTGAAGCGGACTCTACTGAAGCGAGTGCCGCCCTCAAAAATGCCATCATCAAACTCACTAGCTTCCAAAACCTTCCTCCCACTAGAAGTAGACTACACCGAAGGTTCGATCTGTGATGTGTGCGGTAGTCAAGACGGCAGCACTTTGGTTGAGGCCGGCAGTGGAAACCGTCTCTGCGAGGATTGTTGGGAAGAATCTAAACAGACCCAAGCAGCTGAGCTCAATGACGAGCGCACAGTGGAGAATGAATCTTGGGAGGAATCCAGTGACGACGAGGACCAGTATGGTGGTGTAGAAGAGGAGATGAATGAAAACAACTACGAATACGAAATCGAAGAGCCCGAGGAAGAGGACGACGATGATGATGATGATATTTCAGAGGATAGTATGTGCCCCGACTTTGCTCATCGGTCGGTGATAGCGTTGGAGCTCGGACGGGCTGCTCAGGACCAGGAGGAGCTCCGTCTTAATAAGGAGCTTTTGGATGCTTTCAGCAACACTGAAGTCAACAGAGATCTGTTGACTGAGATGTGTATCAAGAATGTTAAGGAGGAGGATGAGGAGGGGGAGGAGGAGGAGTCCAAGGCTCAGTCGATCAGCTTTTCGACCGAGGGCTTAGTTCGATTTTTCGATTCGGCGGCTTCCATGGCCGACACCCACATTCACAGTCTCCCTCTAGAGGTAATAGCATTGGGCGGATGATGATCGGGGGGGAACTCTCATGGGTCGCTTTAGATAAAGGCGTTCGATGGGCAGTCGAGCCACCAGGCTAACTACATCGGTTCCACCACGATGGAAGAAGACGACGACGACGAACCGATGATGGAGGACGATTGTGAAGAGGAGGAGGAGGAGGTGAAAGAAGACGATGAAGGGGAAGACGATAGCCCATCAACCGCTGAGAGCGATGGGAAAGCCGACGATGATGAAGAGGAGGATGAGGACTGGGAGACCAGTAGTCTGGCCGAGTACACTACAGATGAATTATCATGTACTACAACAGGAAGGATGGCTGGGAATAGTAGCAACTTCTGTGTAGATATACGGGATCTCATGGCCATGCCACGGGGGGCCCTGTCCGAGCTGTAGGACGCCAGGTTTATTCCACTCTGTCAATAATGCATGATAATGATACTATTGTACTACTGTAGCCATCGTAGCGCTACAGTTTGTTCTATTGCTGACTGCTTCTATACAGTCCCATTCGCCTGAGTCTAAAGTTACCTTGTTCCTTTCCTTGATGATGATGCCGACGATTATTCTGACAATTACTTTGTCTCTAAGTTGTTGTCAAAGTTTACTACTACTTATACATTTCCCCATGGTGACAAATCGTTGTGTGTGTTATCGAGATTATGGTATAGAGTTGGTAAGTACTATACATCGGAACATTGTCTACACTATGTAGACTATCTTCTGTTGGCTGTATACGAGTTCATGAACAAAATAGGAACCGTTCAAAGGCTTCTATCGAGCTCTTTCCAACGCTGTACGAACCGTCCTGAGATTCGCATTGTGCACTGGGTTATCGTCAAACGCAAAATTAGCTACATAGAGAAACGCCTTATGTCTATACGTATACTATGCACGTGAATTTATTTGTTTACTTACATCAGGCCATGGTCACTCATCTCGGAGCTGCTGAGCTCGCAGCCACATTTCTATACTGCTATCCTGGTGAAAATTATGAAAAAACTTCCATATCGTCAAGGTATCATTCGAGTGGGAAGTACTGCCCCCTAAAATATAAGTACACCCAAGGCAGTTACTTCGTCGTGGACATAAACATCGTAAGCAGTGAATAGATGATTTTCTCACCACCAGTGTAGTATACGTGATTTATATAATGAACACAACAAGAATGTATCAGCCAATAATTTCTCGGCCAGAGACCCGCTCCCTTTTCGTCATTGAGCAATAGCAGCTTAGAAGTAGTTCTCGACGTAGGGGAGAGCCTCAAGGACATGAACCTAAATGACACGAAGTAGAAGATGGCGCGAAGTCAATTGGACATTACCTTGGTCTCGCCACTGCGGCCGACCTTCACAATCTTGCCAGACTTGGGCATGCCGGGGGTCTCACGCTTAGTGATGACCTTCTCGCCCTTGACCTTAGCGTCATGCTTGAGAGCATCGTTAGCCTTGACACGGTTGAGGAAGGCCTCGTTACAGCGAGACTTGCGGACGTGCTCAATACGGACATGAAGGCGCTTGCGGAGCTGACGGTTGCCGACGACCTTGGTCACCTGAATGAGAACACTGTAGGAAACACGAAAATAGACAAACGAAAGTAGACGAAGAAATAGCTCAAAGGTGAATTACCTCAACACCGACAGCCTTCTGAGTGACGTTGAAGACGACACCAGTACGGCCGTGGTAGAACTGGTAGGGCATACCCCTCTGGATGGAGGCATCGGCAACAATGTCAACGAAGTCACCACGCTTGAAGGGGGTCAAGTAGCGGGTAAGGTTGGGAAGACCCTTCTCCCTGAAGCCCTTGGAGAACTTATCGCGGGTACGCGCTCTAAGACCGAAGGAGTGGGGCATGGTTTAAGGCTGATACTCCACTGAGATAGTCCGCGCCATGGGGCTTCGTACAATCATATCGATCATCTGATCGATTTGCGCTAGCTCTGCGCAGGATCACCCTCGACGACGCGAATTGGCGGCGATCGAGGGAAGCTTGCCTTGCCATGCCCTTAGAGATCTCTTAAAGGGAAATAGCTGTAATGCCAGAGTGAGCGTATAACTCTTATGGAGTGCTTGAAGGGCACGACCGTAGAATTTAGGGGTAGTCGGGACGTGGGACTTTTGACTGTATGCTCCTTATACATCCATTATTATCCATATTATTATCTACCATCTCTATCACTTATTATCCATCCCTTATACATCCACTACGCGAAAGAGCATATAGACGATATAACGTGAATATTCTCTTGACAGTGTAGAAGAGTGAGTGTCAGTTGCTATTATAATGTACACTGAGATAGACCATGAATAAATATAAAGTACATAGAATGCTGGGCGATGGGACCTATGGTAGCGTCTTGCGAGGGCAGAACAAACACACGGGGGAAATAGTCGCTATCAAAAAGATGAAGAAAAAGTACCAAAACTTGCCTTCACCGATACAGGGAGTCACTGACAGATACTACTCCTGGGATGAGTGCATGGCCTTGAGGGAAGTCAGAAGTCTACGGAAACTCACGCATCCCCACATAGTACGACTAAAGGAGGTCATTCGAGAGGCTGATGAGCTCCACTTGGTAGATTGGGCCGATCGATGTTGGAATTATGAAGTTGTAGGTGTTCGAATTCTTAGAGGGAAATCTATACCAACTCTTGAGGAAAAAAGAGAACGCCTTCCCAGAAGCCCAGGTTAGGCTGTACATGTATCAGACTATAATGGCATTGGACTTCATGCATAAGCACGGCTACTTCCATAGGGACCTCAAACCTGAGAATTTACTGGTACTGTCGCGGACTGTGGAGTGAGTCGACACGGTGACAGGTGACCAGAGACTTGCTCAAATTGGCCGACTTCGGCCTGGCTCGGGAGATCAGGTCGCGACCGCCCTTTACAGACTACGTCTCAACTAGATGGTGTTGAATCGTTCAGACCTCGTCGTTGCCAGCCCGGTGTGAGCAGGTACCGAGCCCCGGAGGTCCTGCTTAGAAACCCTTCTTATAATTCACCTGTGGATCTCTGGGCAGCTGGGGGCATCATGGCAGAACTATACACTGGTATTGACTAGAGTGGGACCAGAGCACTCACAATGCTACCAGGTCGACCACTATTTCCTGGCTCTTCTGAGACTGATGAACTGTACAGGATCTGCACAGTGATCGGGACGCCAACGGCAGAGGTGTGTCGGGGCCTGCCCTGGTCACTATCATGAGAAGTGCAGATATGGTCCGAGGGCTGTCGCCTAGCATCACAAATGGGGTATCGCTTCCTCCCATGTGAGCCTACTGACCTCACAGACTTGGTCCCGCCAGCCTCCAGAGATGGTATTGACTTCATGAAAGCAGTACTGACTTGGGACCCCAGCAAACGGTAGTCTCCTTGTGTCTGTGCGTAGGAGGCTCTCCTTTGAAAGGTTAACGGCGCACCAGTGCTTGAGCCATCCTTTCTTCGCGACTCATACAGCAACACTCCAGCGGCAGGTGGCTACAGCTATAGCGTCACTACCCTGTACAGTGCTGCCCACTACCGGTCACAGGCCTCCCTCAGGAGGAAGGGTGGGGACATATAAACCTATGGCCGCCATATTCACTATCTACAGGCACCACCGCAACAACCGCGACCGAGTTTTCCCCATACTGTCAACCTCGTACTTCCCTACAAGCAGTCCCAGGATCAGCAACGACCTCAGTTCCCACCGACCTACCCCCTATCAAGACGGCCTTCCCTCGGGAATGGATCGTCGAGTGCCGCTCATCGCGGGGGTAGTATGGCGTGTGGTAACCTACGACTAAAGTGATTACAGGTTGGGCCCCTAGTAGTTGCTCTGGTACGGCGGAGGGCGGCCGTCGCATCCCCTTGCCTGGCTTGCATGCTGGTGAGTGCTGCGCTATGACTATCGCAGGCGACATTATCCTTTCTTAGTGCTAAATGAGCATGCTCCCACTCCCCACCCCTTCCCACAGTCCCATTCGCTGGCACACCAGCAACAGGGGTCTCAGTCTCACTGGCGTGTCTGCAATAGTGGCGGACAGCGACACGTGAGCATGCCGCGGTACCGGGCCGGGTCGGTCACTGGGAAGGGCGGCCTTACCCCTCCATTGGCCGCGCACTTCCCTTCGATGGTCCTACCCAGTGCTGAGAGCATACTGCCCAGCACTGGTCCCTCGAGGTCAACGGGTTTCTTTGGAGTCCAGGCCCAGCGAATGTTCCAGTTGTAGTGATAATGAAGCTCGCCTGTGCACTTGACAAGGCACATCGTGGCATGTTACCATTCATGGTCTCCTGACAATCTCGAATCTGAGTTTACTAGTATGTGGGAGAGTCGTACTGGAGTTGCTCTTGCAGAGAGCATGTCTAGAAATGGATGAGGGCCGACTGCAGGGAGTAGTGGGCGGAGTTCAGCGGGTGAGGTAAGCAAGAATACCTGTTACCTGGTCTCAGCAAGCAATGCTGGAGGGCAGGAGGGTATATAATGGAGTCAACTTGTTCGTTCTCCTTCACCAGAGTCCATCAGAGTAGTCTAATGCTGCGCGGTTCACTCGGACCTTGTTAGTGCATAAGCGTTGCTATTGAATGGATTTGATAGGAGAGAAGGGACTCTCTGGAAGGCCACCCACGGCGCTGTGGAGGTTTGACGCTGGTAGCGAACGGTGTCGAAGGATGAGGTATCGAGTCTTGCTGAGTTGAACTATCACCACGCGATATACCTCAGGGGGTGGGGAGCAGATCCCTTCGAATGGCTTGTGTAACCACGCCGGTAAAA